GACCTAGAAGCAAGCAGGAGGTTCAAGAATTGGTCGATCAAATCAACAATGCTGTGAACAGCATGACTCGTAAAGATGGATATGCCCCTAATCAACATGTGTTTGGAAAAGACATGAGGATGCCTGGCATGATCTCCAGTGAACCAGATCCTGTGATAAATTCCTCGCTTGTGCAAGGGGAGTCGCTATTTGAGAGACGAATGGAAATCAGAACGTCCGCGCGTAAGGCCTTCCTGGAGGCGGATGGGGAAATGAGGATCCGGAAGTCTCTTGAACATCGTACCAGGCCCGAGCGTGGTCCCTTTAATGAGGGAGATTTAGTTTTCTTTTGGCGGAAAAATCGATTTGACAGCAAACATCATTGGCATGGCCCAGGGGTGGTGATTGGAAAGAGTGGAGGCTCAAAGGTGTGGATAGCACGAGGCACCAAGGTGTATCGATGCTGTCCCGAGCAGTTGAGAAGGCTGAGCCCAGATCAGGAGGCCATGATACGTTTGTTGCCAGCTGACATGGTGCGTGTGCGTGATGCCGTTGGAGCGCAGGGAGCAGGTAACTATCATGACCTTAGCATGTTGGAGCGACCCAGCGACCATGAAGTTGATGCTGAAGTAGATGCTGCTCCCCGTAATCAGGCAGTAAGCGGGTCTTCTGACACGGCCGAAGAACCAGCAAGATTGCCTGTTGGAACGGGAGAAGTGGGCATGGAAGGAGTTGAAGAGAGCATGGCAAGACCAGTGCGTCTGGAGCATGAGGATCCAAGGCCAGTGGCTGTTGGCGATGAGTCGCCAACCAAAAGGGCCCGTGTGGGTGTTGAGCCAACACCATTGGTGAATGCTCTCCGGTTTGATCCAGAACTGCTTGATAGTGGAAGCAGGCCGCGAGCGAGCCAAGTGGACGATCCTGTGCATATTCCAGCGCCGAACAGTGACGGTCCTGATGAAGAATTGGAAGTGCTTGTTGCGGATGTTGATCATTGGGTTGTTGATCACAAGCGGTCGAAGTTGATTCGCATGCATGTGCTTGAGCGTGATCGTGCTTTTGTGCCATGTTGCGACAAGTTGCCAGTGCGTGTTGAGGACCTTGAGGACACTTGTGTTGTTGTGATGTTTGATCGTCAAGGCATGAAACATCGCCAGGAATGTAAGTGGCGAGATAGTTCATCCTTGAATGTTGGACAATGCTTGTGGACCGGCATGACTGAGTTCTCGTTGAAGCGTGGTTGGCAGTGGCAGACACATGAGCTTGATGAGTGCTTTGAAGTTGATGTAAAGAAAGGCCGAAAAGAAGTCAATGAGAAACTTCTTGACCCCAAGCGAGCCCAAGGCTTGAAGAACGCGAAAGTCAAGGAGTGGAAGAAGTTGGTTGATAGTGGTGCGATCATTGTACATAGGGGCAAAGCGGCAGCAAGGATTCGGGAACAGATACCAAGGAAGAGGCTGCTTAAGTCTCGTTTTGTTGTAACTGAAGCAGACGAAGGCACGTCCCCGAACACAGCTGATCTTAAGGCGAGATGGTGTATTCGGGGATACCTTGACCCTGATGTTGTCAGCCTTGACACCAGTTCACCAACTCTTTCAGCTGAGGGGCTTGCCGTTGCGCTGCAGTTGGCTGCGTCATGCAAATGGTGTATACAAATAGCAGATGTGGAGGGAGCCTTCCTTCGAGGAGACAAGTTGCATCCAAGTCGTGGCAGATTGTTCATTGAGTTGCCTCCTGGTGGAGTTGAAGGTGTCGATGAAACTTGTATAGTTGAAGCAGTCAAAACGGTGTATGGTTTGGCAGATGCTCCCAAAGCTTGGTGGCAATGTTTCAGTAAAAAGTTGATTGGCCTTGGACTCAGACCCTCACGTTTTGATCCTTGCGTGTATTACTATTTCCATGACAACATCGTAGCCGGAGTAGTGACGCTGCATGTGGACGATCTGTGCATGGCAGGAAATGCGATGTTTGAAAGTCATGTGGTTGTGCCCCTGAAGGAAATGTACCCCTTCAAACACTGGAAAGTTGGCGAGGGCGAGTTTCTTGGGAAGCACTTGAAACAGGAGCCTGATGGAAGCATCAAAATCACACAGAATGCGTATGCCCAGCAGTTTAGAGCATTGTCCATCTCACGCGAACGCAGGCGAAATAAGTCTGATGCAATTACTGAGGAGGAGGAGCGTACACAGATGCGTGGAGCTTTAGGCGGTTTAAATTGGCTGGCGACTGGAAGTAGGCCTGACCTTGCGGCTTGGTGTTCTTGTTGCAACAACGAGTGAATAGTGCTGTTGTTCAGGACTTGATTGATGTCAATAGGGTAATCAGCATGGCTCATGACAACAGTTCCGCCCATATCTGGATTAGATCCATTCCTGTACAGAATGTCCAGTTCACCGTGCTCACAGATGCGGCATGGGCCAATGGCAAGGACTGTTGCAGTCAAGCTGGATACATGGTGGCTGCTTGTGATGCTAAGCTACCTGGAGGAAGCTGGGGCGTCTTCTCAATCATGCGATGGCGAAGTTATAAACAAGACAGGCAAACTCATTCAACACTAGGAGCTGAGCTGCTGTCCCTGTCCAGAGGGCTGGCAGAAGCCCGCTGGATTCGGTCCATGTGGTGCGAGGCCATGAATGCTGACTATGAACTGAGACGTGATCATCAGTGGAGCTGCAGAATTCCATTGACTGCAGTGATTGACTGCAAACCTGTATACGACCATGCTCATAGTGAGACTGTGTCCATCAAAGACAAACGAATGGCCATAGAAATGCTGCTCCTCAAGGAGGACATCGCGAAGTACAACATTTCACTACGTTGGATGGCTACTAAGCAGATGATTGTGGACGTGTTAACCAAGAAGGGTGCCCCCATGAATCTTTTTCGTA